AATATCAAGCATGATATTTTGCTCCAATATCACGCTTGCTAATGATTATGCCATCGCAGGTAGTGTGAGGATTTTTGAATTTGCAAATTATGCACGATTGCATTCTCAATCTATGTTCCAGCTGGTGAATTTACATTTAAATTTTACACTTTGAAAATAAATTAAAATGTTCGAACATCCCTCTGCTGTTGATCGTCCGGTTTCAAGTTTGTTTGTTAAAATTGATTCCTGGTCTGCACACCGTAGGCAGTGCCGTTAGTTTTTTGCGTTTAAAATTAACCATCAGCCGCTGAAACTATATGTATTATCGCATATCTCTGTTGTTCATTACATACCAAGTGAAAACTTAATCATATTTTGTCGTGGAGTGTTGTGGTTTTGAGATGCTCGATAACCCTGGAGGGATCGGTTTTGCTTAATGAGCAAGATATCATGGGTTTCATCCCAAGCTCTCCCACAACAGAATTAACCACCATCGTTGGGTTCCGAGAGCATAAAGCGCAGTTAATAACCAAAAGATGAATAGTTTAAACCATGAATTTCGGAAAGGGTGTATGCGTGATCCAGTTTGAAAGACATTGTTGGATGCTTCCAGATGCGTCGCACACTGGGGCAGATCAGTGATTTTCTCGGAAAAAATAATAACTTTTGAACAAAGCATCCAATCAGAATACTGTCTTCGGTAAAGTTGTTTGTATAAGTTAGGCGCTTCTTCTGAATAAATTAATTAGTTCGTAACTTGGTCGTAGAGATGGCGCGCGAATCTAACTTTTGAATAAAGCATCCTGGACGTATGGTGTTTTCAACAAAGTTTTTTATCTATTAAAATAAAGGAAAGTTGCAGAAGACATAAAACTTCCATAACCTTTAGTTTCGGAGATATAGGGTATATTGAAAAATATGATGCCAAAATTCTTATTTGTTAACTTTTTGTATATTTTCATATATTTGCTCTGGTTTCTGCATTTATTCAAACGAAAACAAACTAGGTGCAAATTTTCATTGCACTATTTGTGGAATTTATAGTGGTTTTAGTGAAATATTCTCGAAAAACATGATATTTTGCCTGTATTTTAGGTATGTGGGATTCTCGTAGGGGCAGCTAAGGGCAGCTGGACTTTGTATCATTTGTTAGCTCATGTCATCCTTTAACATATACCAGAAAACCGAAGACATGATATTCGATGATTTTTTTTTAATTTCACCTTTTGTAAACCGTTACAAGTATCTCTACTATTAAGGAAACCTATAAGTTATGTATAATTTATATTCGTTAAACTTTTTAAATTGCAGAAGCAGAAATGGTTTAAAGACTAAACTATCTCTTAAGTTAAAGTATTTAGAAATCAGTTGTCCTTAATTGTCACTATCGTCAAATAAATCCGGTAGTTGTAATAATGCCAATACCCCGCATTTTTTTTAATTGGGCTGAATTTTTCGTCGGTCTTTTTCGCAGACTTTTAATTAATGGATCTGGTTGGAAAAATAGTTTGATGTGCTTGTGTGCTCTATTATCTTTACTAAAATTAATTTTGAGACACCACTTAACGAAATGCATGTTGAGCATATGGCATAGAATAAACAACTGTTGAAAATATACATTGAAGGTGAATCCATTATAGCAACTTTGTGGATTATTGCGTAACACCGGAAATTGATCACTGAACTGAGACGAGAAAAAAATTCACGCTTATGGATACCAACTACTGAAGTATACTCACGTATACTAACACTACCATCAGATAGGGGAAATTTTCTCCTGCATTATAGTGGTGTTATTATGCGTGGATGAGCTACCAGTTACACCAAACCGACCATCAAATGCAATGTTTACAAAAGCTGATACGTCTCTTCGAAAAAGTAATCGATAATTGTACGTTGTACACGATCACGTTGGCACGGCAGCACACAGCTTGTACGATGATGTCACATATACAACTTTACCTGGGTAATGCAGCTGATTGAGCTGACGTATACATGGTGCAAAGGGACGGATAATCGTGTAGTAAGCAGATAATCAAAAGCAGATGATAGCATCAAAAACATGGCCACCAGCCAGGCCCCTGGTTCGCTGGCAGCTCATAATAAGTAAACAATCTCAAAATTCAGCACAGCATTTAAAAATGGTGACATGTCAAAAATTTATATAATGTTTCCCATTTTGCTGTTTCACAATTCATCCTTCATTTCAATGTAAAGGATGTTTTTATCGGTATATATAAAGTGAAATTTAAAAAAATCATCGAATATCATGTTTTCAGTTTTCTGGTATATGTTAGACGATGACATGAGCTAACAAAAGAGACAAAGTTCAGCTGCCCTTAGCTGCCCTTTCGAGAATCCCACCCACCTAAAATAGAGGAAAAATATCATGTTTTACGAAGATATTTCACTAAAACCACTATAAATTCCACAAATAGTTCAATGAAAATTCGCACCTAGTTTGTTTTCGTTGGAATAAATGCAGAAACCAGAGCAAACATTTGAAAATATACAAAAAAGTTAACACTTAAGAATTTTGACATCATATTTTTCAATATACCCTATATCTCCGAAACTAAAGGGTATGGAAGTTTTATGTCTTCTGCAACTTTCCTTTATTTTAATAGATAAAAAACTTTGTTGAAAACATCATATGTCTAGGATGCTTTATTCAAAAGTTAGATTCGCGCGCCAAGTTGCGACCAAGTTGCGAACTAATTAATTTATTCAAAAGAAGCGCTTAACTAATACAAACAACTTTACCGAACACAGTATTCTGATTGGATGCTTTGTTCAAAAGTTATTAATTTTTTTCCGAGAAAATCACTGATCTGCCCCAGTGTGCGTCGCTTCATTTGAATAACTTTTTGTTGAGTCGGTCGTAGATTGTGGAAATGTAAGGGGCACGGTGGCTATAGAGCAACTGTTTTTGCTAAATGAGTAGAAGATGATGGGTTAAAACCTAAGCCTCATTACATTACTAAGTTAATATATCCAGAAAATCGATAATAACAGAAATTGGAGCAACGATTCAGAAAAGTAATAAGTATATTTAGACAATTTTGACGTACGCCTGAATCGGTACGGAAGACATTGTTAACTACTTTGGATGATTTCATTTTATTGTAATAGCTTCTTGTAACCGATAATAAACGATCGTCAGCTTGTTGTGATGTAAGGGGCACGGTGGCCTAAGAGCGACCGTTTTTTTTTACTGAGCAAACAATCGTGGGTTATAACCCAAGCCTCTTTACATTACTGAGTTGATAGGGTCGCGTCATTTGCTTAACAGGTTTTAAAAGATCGCATCACTTTCCAATGTGAATCCAGATCTAATTTACCCTTCCCACTAACAAAAACGTCCTTCCCGTGACACCCGTGGAGATGCAGAGGTATACTCGATCTCTAGTAGCAACTGTTGTTGAAATAACAATCCCTCCCCGATGACCGTAAGGACGTGGCCGGTGCCGTTATTGACCTCAAAAATGTGGATTCTCCGGATTTTGTACACTGAGAATGGATTGCTAGTCTCAAGCCCCACTCATATGGTTCTTTGTGCAAATTTCGCTAAATCTGGTCAATCACGGAGTAGCAACTACTGAAACCCTGCTCTGCTCATGCTCATTTTAAAATTGATTTCTGGTCTGCCAGAAATAAGTCTGGTACAATAGCAGCTTTATTTGAAAAATTTTTATGTGTCAAATTTAAGTGAAAATTTATCAAATCGAACAGTGTTATGATTTAGCTTCAAAATCAAAACAAAGAAATTGAAACGCTACACAAAGTAACCAGCATAACAACCACTCAAACGTCAATTGATAGCATGTTCCTTTGGGTTTTTGTTAGTTGTCCATAGAATAATGCAAAAAACAAAATAATAACAATGATCAACGTCGAAATATAAAGCAATGAATTTTTAATCCAGAAATCCCATCGATGATTATTGCGCCGTTGAAAACTCAAGCTGCTAGCACAGTGAATGCGAGCAGCTGAGCTGACAAATTATTTAACGGGGATTTTCATCATTTCTAAATCATCAACCTAAAACGGCGCCGGTGGTGTAGTGGTAAGCGTGATTACCTCTCACCCCAGCAGGCCTGGGTTCAATCCCAGTCGGCGCCGCCGGGATGTTCTGAGGCATAACATCTCTGATCACGCCTTCCTTCGGATGGGAAGTAAAGCCGTTGGTCCCCGGTTCATGAGTTGATGGGTCGATAGGTAGGGTCCAGGTGTGGAAGCTGCCTTCCTGGCACGTCGGTAGCATTGGTGCTCAGCACGGAAAACAAGATCGACGGAAAAAACAAACCAAAGGAAAAGAAAAAAAATAAATCATCAACCTTTGAAATAGGCGGATCAACCAAGTGGTAAATTCAATGGAAATGAATAGATTTATAGATGCTTTAATGTTTATATTGTAATAAGATTTCATTGCTGTATCTTTCAATTTATGTTGAGAAATCCATCCAAGTGCCACATGTAAATTTACAAAACTTTTGCAGTGCTATGTGTTTTCCTACATACTCAATTTAATCGACCTGCCCCTGCATTACAACTTAAAACGCAAACGACCCAAGGCCGAAAGTCTCTCTAATAAAGCAAACACAAAAATTAAAACGTTAAATCGTACATAAAGCTCTCGTTTCACATATGTATGCGAAAACTGAGAATGAGAACGAATTCATGCTGGCGCATTTTGTCTCTATTGCACATCGATATAACCTGCATTCACTGCATACATATAAAAAAAAGTTAATTTCGATTACCGTGGAATTCCCGCATCTTTCTTCGAAAAACTTATGAATCAACAAAATGACCTTCCTTCTCGTTTCTATGGAAGCGGCTCAAAGCAACTGCTCATGTTGACTCCCCGCTGGAATCCGTGGAATGTTTGAATAATTTATGCACCTGATCCTCATATTTAAATATTTCAGTCTTTATCTACTTTGGTGTAGCAAATCTTTCCAGAAATGATTCATTCTCTAACACGATTTTTCTTCTCTCCTCTTTTATCTTTGCAGAGCTGAACAATCCTCATCGCCACGACGAGCTACAATCTCCGATTTAGAGTTGCTAGTTTACTTAATAAATCTATTTCTTTTTAGTTCTTAGTGTTTAGTGTATAGCTTCGCAGAGCGAACTATTAAGTTTTAAGTAGCCTACGGGAACCGAAACAACAACAAAAAACTGCAAAATGGCCAAATTCAGTGGTAAAAAATGCCGCCTGCTGACGGTGATGACACTGACGGTGTTCTTCTTCTTCGTCGAAATCGTCGTCGGATATCTCACCAACTCGATGGCCCTGGTGGCCGACAGTTTTCACATGCTGGGTGACATTGCCGCCCTTGTGATCTCTTTCCTATCAATTAAGGTGAGTGTTTGCGTACCATTGAGCAGAACGGTTGTGACAAGAATGAGCTCAATTTAATGTGACCTTTTGTGTGTTTGTCTCTTTTTCCATCTATCCTCTAACAGATGTCACCAAAGAAATGGTCCAAAAACACGTTCGGCTGGGCCAGAGCGGAAGTGCTCGGAGCGCTGGTCAATGCAGTATTCCTGGTAGCGCTTTGCTTTAGTATAACGATAGAAGCCTGTAAAAGGTGAGTAGGCTAACAACTCCATTGTGTATATTCAATGCGGATCCATCATGCTGTTTGATTGTACCGTCAGTTGGTGTGTTATTGTGCTACAGTTGTTCCTCAAGTATGGCTTTAATAGTATAGTTTTCACAGAAAATTGCAACAAATTTAACTAATAACTCATATTGGTTAACTGTTGGTTATGGATCCAACTAGATCATATTTTACCGTCTCCGATTTCCATGAAACTTGAAACATGAAATCTTTATTCGCTATGGAGCCAGGCCAAACAGTAAAAAGAAAACTTCAGACTCGACCTTCTCCGATTTACAAGAAACTTTTCATACTTGTTTGTTATTGTCAATAATTCACATTTCCGGCCATTTTGAACCACGCAAAAAAAAAAATCAAAATGACGTAGTCGATATTTTTAACAAGTGATAACTCGAAAACGTCACTTCCAATCAAAATTATGTCTGAGACAAAATTGTAGGAAAAAATAATAACATTCCATCAAAAATGTGCACGGAAAAACAAACAAATTCTATTAGGTAAACATTAAAAAATGTGATTAAAACATAAATAACAATAAAAAAAACCCTTCAATATTTCTTGAAATCTTTTAATAAGAAGCTTATGAAAAATTCTAACTTAGTGAAATTTCCAAGCTAAACACTTAAAAATTAACAAAAATCATAGAACAACAACATTTGGTCAATTTTTTGAACTTTTTGTTTGCGGAAAAAAACTAAATGTTGTTGTTCTATGATTTTTTGTTAATTTTTAAGTGTCCAACAAAATGACCGAATTTCAGCTCAAATATGAATTATTGACCATAAAAGAAAACAATTATGCAGTTTCATACAAATCTGATAAAGTTATATTTTTCAAAATGACGTATCCGATATTTTTCAATAAATCTAGAGCAATATGTGAAAATGTGCTAAGTGTAAACCGACCCTAGCATATGGTAGAGGAAGTTTGCTCTATTATATGGTGTAGTTAATTTGTGTGGGTGAGTTGTGGTTCGTGAGAAATCGACGTTTAAAGTCATTATTTAAGTTTGGTTCATAGGGCTTTTTCACGTGTTGCTCTAGAAATAATAGTACGAAAAAACTTTTCGTGTAATCGAAATGCCAGCTGAGACAAAGTTGTAGGATAGGCATTTGAAATACAATTCAGCAGACGAAAATCCTGGATTTTGGGCAAAAAAACTGATTTTGAAAGGCACCACATTGGCTTATCTCACTTTACTTCGGTAGCCACCCCCGTCAGTCGTAGCCACGTAGAAATTTGTTTTACTGCATTTGTAATTTAACTCGTGAGCAAAGAATGTGTTGCATTGATGTTGGATATACCTGTTTATCTTCATTGTGTATGATGGAAATGGGTACCATATGCTGAAGTAGTGCTACACCCTTTAAACTGTATAGACATTACATTTTTTTTATTTTTTAAACTTATGTCCGAATCGATTCGAGATTTGGGCGTAACTACTTTTGTGAACAACAACTTTAAGCGCCGATTTCTAGCGAATAAAAGCTCATTTTCGCAAATACCTACTACACCTACCTAATTATGTAGTTAGGTTGCGATATTGAGCATTTATTCCCGAGACATTTCAGCAATAGAAGCCATTGTTTACAAAAGCATATGTGTCCTATAATCTCAAATTAGTCAAAAAATGCCAACTTTTCTAAATTTTTCCAAATGTTAACATTAAAATTGACAACATTTGTAAAACATAAACTTTTATTTATTTATAATCACCATCTTTGCCATTGGAGCCACACAGACTGAATTATCGGGAGTTAATTATATTCTTAAAAACTAGTTTACTTATATTAAAATTAAAAGCATCACACACATCATTGAACAGTCTGCAACATTTGTCGAGTGGATTGTTATAACCATAAAAGCAGTACGGTGTCCAGGAGTCCACAAGAGGTACGTATTGCGAAGAAGACGGACTGGAGCGTGGAAGTTGATATCCCGGAACATATCAGTCAATACGATTACTAATCAAGTCAAAAATAAATAGTGTCTGCAGGAAAATTCGGCGACTCGATAATGTTTGTAGTCCAATAAACGCATATCGTAGGTTATCGGGATTGGTCCATGGAAGCTGTCGTAAGAAGAATCTGACAAAACATTTCTGGATTCTTTCGATGCCCGATATGTTTTTCTTGTTTTCCGTGCTGAGCACCAATGCTATCGACGCCAGGGAGGCAGCTCCCACACCTGGACCCATCAACTCATGAACCGGGGACCAACGGCTTTACTTCTCTACCGAAGGAAAGCGTGATCAGAGATGGTATGCCTCAGAACATCCCGGCGGCGCCGACTGGAATTGAAACCAGGCCTGCTAGGGTGAGAGGTAATCACGCTTACCACTACGCCACCGGTGCCGCTCATATGCGCGATATGTGCACAGCACGATATGGAGCCCAGATTTGTACTCTATATTCAAGAACGCTACGAACCAAGGAGCTGTACAATGTTTTCAAAGCGTGCGCATCATCGAATTGCGCAGCGTTGCGACGCAGAATCCAAGCAAGGAATTGGCCTTTGCAATTGACATAGATATGTGCTTGTTGAATCTAAGTTTGCTATCCAAGATAAGTCCAAGATCTTTAATATAATCAACTCGTTCAAGCGGCAATTGATTCATCGAATAATCAAATTTGATCGGCGAGTGACTGCAGGTGATGGCAATGACCTTGCATTTGGCAGTGTTTGCTTGCATTCTTTTCATCTGACACCACGATGTTAACTGCTCGATGTCAGTTTGTATAACACAACAATCTAGGATCGATTTGATCACACGGTAGACTTTCAAATCATCAGCATATAACAACTCACAAGAACTTGAGTGGTCACACACGTCGTTAATAAATAAAACCGAAAATAAGAGGTCCTAAGTGGCTCCCTTGTGGAACTCCCGATGGTATATCAAACACATCAGATCTGGCATCATGAACCTTAACGAAGGCTTTCCCGGAGGATAAATATGATTTTAACCAGCGAACGACCCACGGCGGAAGACCAAGGCGGCTCAGCTTTGCTATAGCGAGGTCACGAGGGACTTTGTCGAAAGCCTTAGAGAAGAACTTGCTGACGATTTTCTATGCTATCGATGCTATCAATAAGAGTGTTGGTGTAGGACTTCAAGTTGGATACCGTCGAGCACTTTTTCATAAATACATGCTGGAACTCCGAGGTTATAGATTGCACAGCTGGATACTGCTTGTCATGCCAAACAATTAAGAATCGAGATAGGTCGATAGTTTTCCACGTTGATGCAAGGATCCAGGATCCGGGAAAACGCCAACCAAGAGTGAACGATTGAAGATAGACATAACGGGTGTGGCCAACGATGCTGCACAATCCTCGATGTAAGACGGTGAAATACGATCCGGACCTGGGACTTTCGATGCATGGCTGAAGTTAAGCTGCTGCAGACGAATGTTGTAGTTCGGTAACTGGTCGATGTACTGCTGTTGCGAAGGAGTTTGATCGAGTTCGAAAACGCTTCGGAAGAAATCAGCGATGTGGTTTGCAGAACTAGCAACCGTGGAGGAGCTTCGATTACATTAGGTGGCGTCTGCCGGAATACCATGTTCTGTGCGTGTCGTAGTACCTCAGTACTATGGAAAAGTAATGAAGTATTCACATTCGATACAGTTAAATCATACATACTTCCTCTTCTCACAACCCGAGCAGGAACGAATATCTCGATACCTTAAATTGGTATGGATGAGCCTGATATAATGGTAAAATTTCAAAAAATAATGCCAAAGAAATGTTCCCACGATACCATTCCAATACCAAATTATGATAATGCAATACCAAAACAATACCACACAGGTATTATTTTGGTATCCAAATATCAATTTTGGTTATTTACAAAGTATTTTGCATGCATTTTTTTTTTGGTATTATTCTTTGGTATTTTACCTCTTATGTCATGCTGATCAACACCAAATTTTGTTATCGGATCAGAATTAGGTATTCATTAGTTATTTTCTCCTGCTCGGGAAGCCTTAGCCTGGCATAAGAAGTAAAATTCCAAAAAATGATACCTCTAAAATGTTTTACGAATATCGACCAAATACATAATTCCGGAGTGATTTGAGATTTGGGCGTAATTACACTTGTAAACAAACACGTCAATCACCGATTTCTCGCGAATAAAAGCTCAATCTCGAAAAGTAATAACACTATGAGGTAGAGGAATGATTCCTCTATCATTTGGTATAGTTTCTTTGTGAGATTGAGCTTTTATTCAAGAGAAATCAGTAATTGACGTGTTTGTTTAGAAAAGCAATTACACCCAAATCGGAGAACTTCGAGATTAGGGCGTAATTATGTTTGTAAACAAACACGTAATTGCCGATTTCTCGCGAATTAAAGCTCAATAGCGAATTTGGTATATTACCTCTTATGTCATTTGGTATCAGGTCAGAATGAGGTATTCATTAGTTATTTTCTCCTGCTCGGGATGAGATATAATAGCAAAATGTGATATCATTTGCTATATTTTTTATATTCTTTAAATAGGCAACAACTGACTTTGCTTTACTCAGTTATGGTCCAATAGACTTTATGTTATTATTTTTGATATTTTACCTCTTATATCAATCAAACTAATAGCGATTTTTGTTGTGCTGTTTCCTAATTTTAACAGTAAAACTTGTTATAGTTTGTTTTTTCTTATTTATGAATTAGCAATTTTTTTAGGATAACTAATAACCTGATAGCTATAAATACTCAACACCAGTTGACGGTCACTTCAAGCACTCATGAAATGGGAATCATACACCACACTGAATTGAAACAACCTTTTTTCTTTCCCCGTTCACAGATTTATTGAAGTGGAACACATACACGAACCAGAGTTGCTGATCTGGGTTGGTGTCATTGGACTGCTAGTCAACCTATTTGGACTGGTTTTGCTGCACAGTAAGTTTTACGCGGTTCTCACTCTCAACCGAACCTACGGACTAATATTTATTTATGATCCTCTCGTCTTCCAGAACACGGAGGCGGCCACATGCATTCGCACGGTGGTATGTCCCATCCGCACGCCCTGGGCTCGCATAACAATCTAACCCATGTGGCCAATTCGGATGACAATGAAAATAAATCATTCATGTATCAGGTTAGTTCTAAACGCTAGTACTAATTGCCGCTGACAGGCCTTGAGCACTGATTTATGCGTTCCTTTCCTCTCTCTCTCGCCCCACAGAATGGCAATCCTCCACCCAAGAAGACTTCCCACCACGGTCACTCGCACGATTCGACCCAGATGAACATGCGTGGTGCATTCCTGCACGTGCTCAGCGACGCTCTCGGCAGTGTGATTGTGATAATTAGTGCGCTTGTAAGTTTCAATTGTCCGATGCATCAATTTAACAAAAAAGTTAACCCGTACACTTCGCTCCCTGCTTGATTGATTCGTTTCCAAACAGATCGTCCGTTTCACCGACTGGGAGTACAAACTGTACATGGACCCGGCGCTGTCGATTCTGCTGGTGATATTGATTCTGAACTCGGTGTGGCCGCTGCTACGCGAATCGGCCCTGATTCTGCTGCAAACCGTGCCGACCCACATTCAGGTCGATGCCATCCAGCGCCGGCTGCTGGAGAAGGTGGACGGCGTCCTGGCGGTGCACGAGTTTCACGTGTGGCAACTGGCTGGCGATAGGATTATCGCGTCCGCCCACATCCGCTGTCGGAATCTGTCCGAGTACATGAAGATTGCCGAAAAGGTGAAGGAATTTTTCCACAACGAAGGCATCCACTCGACCACGATTCAGCCGGAGTTTGTCGAAATTGAAGCGATCAACAGCTACTCGGGTGAGTGTCGATGAAAGTGGGGAATTAATTTTGCTGGTTTTGAGAACAGGGGGTTGGAATGGTATCCAATTACAGCCAACCCTTTTTTTATGCGGGTACATTTTTTCAATTTTCTTTTTCTGTGGCGAAGTAAGGATTTATTTAGATACCATATGTTACTTTGATATTGTTTTTTTTCTTCTGATTTTTGACACCAGTTGCATCAGGCTTGGTTTCATATGAATATCGAAAAAAAAAAAGAAAATTAAGACCGCGTAAAAAAGGTTTGGTGTACGCGGTAATCGCTGTTTGAATGTAGAGACCAACCAGCCTAAGGCTGAAAGTCTCTTTAATAAAGAAACAAACAAAAAACTTGTTTGAATATTTCGTGCTTTGATAGAAACCTCTATAAGTTTAAAATTGTTAAAATATTGATTCAACTTGGAACGTTGTGTAAACGCATCCCGAGCTAAGTCAGATATCAAAATACTATCAAAATTATAACAAATTACGTTTTTGAAATCATGTTCATAACATATTTTGATATTCTATTTTTTTTTAATTCGGTTGAATTCATATGTTGATATTATTTTGATATTAAAAAAAATACAATTAAAAATAAAATTAGATATTTTATAAAAATAACTAAAATCTAGACTTTTTTGTTTTATTACGAGTCAATCAGGATGCTTGTTGTTTTTTTTTAAAAACATCACGAAGATAATTATGATTTTTTTTTTTTTTTTTTTTTATTATAGTCACTTTAACACTCTTGGGTCATTCGTGACTTGTCCGGGGGTGAGATTTGAACTCGTGACTTTGGCGTGAGAGGTATGGATGTTAACCACTACGCCGGGGTCGCCCCCATAATTATGATTTTTTACAGCTATATTATGTATATATATAGTCTTGAATACTAATATATTGTCGAATATTGTTATTAACTTTCGTAGGCTTGGTCGATTTCTTAGCTCATATTTAAATGTATGTTGTCATAAATCTCATTAAATATCAGTTCTCTCGCAACAAAATAAATTTCATAATTCATGTCTGTTAAAATATGTTCGATGCGAAGGAATTGATCATTAGTAATAATATAAGAGTCATCGTAGCCTAATTTTTTGCATGATTCGTGTTGAATATAATTCCACTAGAATTTGCCATGAAAACTAAACTCCTAATTTAAAAAAAAAATCACATCGTCTATTTCTATGCTTCTTCTTCTTATTATTCGCATTTCAAGCTTATTGCTAAGCGCATATTAGCTTATTGCGTGCTCTGAACTTGGTGTTCTAAATGCACTTCCACAGTTATTAATTGAGAGCTTTCGATGCCAATACCAATGCATGAATTTGTATATTGTGTGGCAAGCACAATGATACTTTATGTCCAGGGAAGTTGAGAAAATTTCGAACCCGAAAGAATCTCTCGACCGGACCGGGAATCTAACCCGCCGCTTCCGGCTTGATACCAAATTCGCGAATGCCATTTTTTGATTTGTCTATAATGACAAAAGCGATTCATTATACACTTTCTTGTAATTTGTACCACTGGATGATTGTTTCCGGCTCTGTACTTTTTGTATCTTAATATCAACCAATAGATTTCAAAACATTAAGATTACTTTATTTGATATCATGATAACAAAATAATAATTAATTTAGATTTGTTTTGTTAATTTTTACTTTCCTACCAAAGTTATAATAACATATTGATTACTTATTTGGTTTATTATTAACGAAATTACCAATATCAAAACGCAAACATGGATTTGTTATCAAGAAAAGATGATTAGTTATCTTTATAATATCCTTCATATACCATTTAGATCTCATTTTCGTTATGATTACTGTTAACTCGACCATACGGTAGGCAAAATATGTTATCACGAACGCTTATATCAAAATATCAAATTTGGTTTACATTCTCTGCTCGGGATGGTCATTTACTGTTTTCATATGATATTGATGATATTGCATCTCTTCGAAGATGGGACTTATTTTTGTCAAAATTGGCAGTGTGGTTATGTCATTAGATGACGCAGATTGGTCCAGGATTTCAGATTTTAAATTTTGTCTGAAAATATGTAGAGGAAATGGCTCTAATGTTGGCCTATGGATCTAATATTGGGCCCATCGCTAAAAATTAGCTATTTATCAATTTTATCTAGATGAACGCGTTATTGGGTCGTTACTAATGGATTTTTTTTTATTATAGTCACTTTAACGCTTTTGGGTCATTCGTGACTTGTCCGGGGGTGAGATTTGAACTTGTGACTTTAGCGTGAGAGGTATGGATGTTAACCACTACGCCGGGGTCGCCCCCATATACTAATGGATATATTTGGTCGCTATTGAATATTTAGTAGATTGCTGAATTTATGTATGGGCCCAAATTAGGGGTATTTAGGCCGTCATTACATCCATTTCCCCTATGTCCTGAATTTGAAATTAAGCGATTCCCATAATGACTTTTCCCAGTTACTTGAAATTTAAGGAACTTAGAAGTTTTCATGATTGTGGGACATGTAAATTTTTCAATATTCTGAACCAATCAACATTCGAGGTACCGGACATCGAAAAACGAGGAAAATTGCGTATTTTAAAATGCAAGGGTGACAATCCGATTTTCAATTATGAACTCTTTTATGTACGGAATATATATAGGGGAAATGGATGTAATGTCGGCCTAAATGCCCCTAATTTGGCCCCATACATAAATTTCGCAATCGACTAAATGTTCAATAGCGACCAAAAATATCCTTTAGTACCGTCCCAATGACGCGTGCCTCTAGATAAAATTGATAAAAATCAAAAATTTTAGCGATGGGCCCAATCTTAGATCCATAGGCCAACATTAGAGCCATTTCCCTTATGTAAAAATAAATTAACAAAAACTTAGTGGTTAAGTTAGCCGAATCAAGGAGCAATGTCGACAACCAATAAATAATCAAACGAAGTAAGGATATTTCTACTTTCCACCCAAAAAATTATTGCAGCTATGCAAAAAACTAAAAGAAGTCTGACTTCAAGTTCATGCCAGAAATAACAAAAACCATAGAACTCGAAAAAACTGCTCATTTTTCAAAGAAGGAAACAATACCTATTAATATCAAATTTGGATGAAAGAACACCATTATAAATCTTTAAATGTTAATGGAACAAATTATAGGAAAAGATCGAGCAGCTTCTTAAAAAAATAAAAATATTTTTTTAAACTTTCAAATACTGGTAAAACAAGAATATTAAATTTCGAAAGAACAACATAGAAGGAAACATTAATAAAATCATTAAATTTGGGTGAAGTAAATGTTAAGAAAAGATCGGGCAGCTTAAAAAAAAGGTTATATAATCGTTTCAAACTGGTGTCCCACGGCCCATGGGACAATAAGGCGTAAGCGGCAGTATACTGCCTACAATCCCATATCAGTCCCATATGGAAAAAGTAGGCAGTTGAAGTTACGAAGTGCAAATTCAGTTGCAATGAAGCCTGCACTGCCGTTCTACGCATATCAGTCCCATGTTTCAAAAGTTGCTTCGGAGAAAATCGCGAATAATGTTTCGAATCATTTCTGCTCATTGGAAGAAATATGCGTTAAAATAAGTTAGCGCATTGTTCACATTTCAACAGAATCAATATGTTTTAGGGAAACTACAGAAATTACCTTCAATGAAATCAGTTAAGCCTATTTTTATACGAACAATATGTAATGGGACTGTTATGCCTAGAAATTTGCACTGAAGTAGGAAATTCTACGCATGTTAGTCCCACTAGGAACAGTTACTGTCAGTGTTGCTTTGATGGTCACGTTGCGTTTGTCGCCTTTGCTCTTGTGATTACATGAGCGTGCATGCGTTCTCCCAGTTTTGGAAGATCCTGGATAGTTTGTATAGCTTTCCATCATTAAATTATACCAACAATACATTTGTTGACACTTCTATAAAACCATTAAAAGTATGGGCATCTCAAGAAACTAATGATTTAGAACATAAACTTCTTAGCATCTTTTTCTACTCCTAAGCAAGATGAACGTAGGCCTAAAGGAGATTGTGCTTAATCATTTTGAGTCCGACCATAGATTTAAGGCTGACATGCTGTAGATAAAAGATCAATACGTCCCACGATCGTTTTTCTTCCGTACGGAGTTGACCTTTATACTACGTATTATTTCATGAAACACGTGGACATTAGAGATGGTCTAGTATAAGAGAGGAGCGGACTAGCTGGGTTTGAACCAAACGAAATGTCAAAGCCAGAGTCCTCTTTTATACTATACCCTCTCTAGTAGACACTATAGGGGGAGTGTGGGAGGTGGCGAGCTCCTACGTCAGAACAAACAATATGTTTTTTTATTTTCAATCCAAAGTCTACCTAAAAAGGTACTGTTTTATGAACAAAAGTGAAAAACGCCCAAAAGTAACATGGGACAGATATGCGTAGAACGGCAGGCTGCATGATCAGCGAAAAATATGACGTTTCAAAAAACAGAACTGTAACTTGACTTTTGAATTTTGACGATTGAATTTCAGGATGGGACTGATATGCGATTACTTTACTTGATGGGACAAACTGACTTGATGTTGTTTTCACATTTTTCATGATCAAAGTCCGTACTTTTATCACGTGATATGAAAATGGCATCTATTGATAGTGGATAGCGTTATTATCTTAAAATTGTCGAAAATCCATATGGGACTGATATGCGATTTTAGGCACTAGGGGAATTTACGTATTCTCGTCAATCTAAGCAGCGTCTGCACTTCTACTAGCATTTTCTCAGCGTCACGCACATATATGATGTGTCTGTTTGTTTACATTCATCTGCTGCTTGCTTTTCTATCCATTCCAATCGACAGAATTTTTCAAAACGTTTTGAAAGCGTTTTTACAACGCTCCAAACTTCTCAGGTGAGTGTGACTATTGTCGGCAGCCTCTTTTTCTTCGGCAACCTTCCCATTAGAACTGCGTGTTAACCAGCTGTTCTATTATCGGCAACTCGAAATCAACCCCATTTTGTAGTGCGTATGCTTTATTTGAAGAAAAATGTAGCATTACTGGATTGCTCGATCGTTCAAATATAATCAGATTGAAGCTGAAAGGCTAAACAATCGTTTGGACACATTCAGGGAAGTGCGTTGATGGGAAAACATAGTGAAATTAACGTTTAAATTTTGGTTGCCGAAAACAGTCAATGGGTGCCGAAGCCAACATTTACCCTATAGTCTTGCACCAAATTTAATTTCAAATAGGGGAAATGTTGGCTTCGGCAATACCTTAACCTATTATCGTCAGGGGGTAAACAAAGTCCTAGAGCACTTAAATTTGGCCAATGCATGCTCTCAAACACAATGTATCCACATACCAAAATTGAGCCCTCAAGGACGTTGTTTACCCCCTGACGATAATAGGTTAAGGTATTGCCGAAGCAAACATTTCCCCTACCATATTAAATTATGATCCACACTGTATGGCTTCCATGAAACCAGTCTCAAAAACATTTTGGTTCTATTTTCATACCCGACGATATCAATCCTGAACGAAAATAAACCATTTTCATGAGACTTAAAATAGATGATACTGGCGCAAATATAACCTGCAAAAAATTTATAGACTTCTCCACTTCCTTCTCCTCCCTCACAGGCTCCGATGGAATCTCGAATAGCTTGAACGGTAGTGCTACACAGGATGGCTGTGCTCTAGACTGCCCTACTACTGACGAAAGTAATTGTATCAAAGCTACATGCTGCCAAAACAACAATACCATTAAGGTAAGTGTCCAAGCCGCGTCTGCGTCGGCCTATTAGCTTTATAGTCCCATTGTAATTGGTGCACACTTGAAAAAAAAATGCTAACAATGCCCACACCGTCGCATCCTACTAAATAAAATACACTACCGTGCCTGGTTAGCTGGCTGGCTGGCTAACTGACAGCCTCTAGCCATTCAAGAGAGCGAGACTTATTATGCCATGTCTGTAACGACGAGCATCATCACGAATCAACACATCAGATTGTTCATTAGACGCGTGGTGGCTGCTACAGTCCAGTCCTTTCTACACACATTTGCGAGCGAGTTCATAACCATCATCACACCGACCGGCATGAACAAAGCTCGATGGAAAGCTCTCTTACGAAGTTGTTGCATACCTACTTCTATATCTACATTTCCTATTTGTCTATATCTTTGCCACACACACCCCATCCCATCGTTGATTATTGTTGATGCACTTCACACCGCACCATGGGGTGGTGGTGGTGGTGGCGCATATAGCGATACGAAAAAGCCGCGTCGACAACAGAGTCCCGGGCGGCGGTCGTTAACCTGATTGCCTGATGGGTACTGTTGGAAGAAGACGGTTGGCGGTGGTTGATTGGTAGCGTGGTAACCGTGGTGTAGCGTACCCAACCAGAAACTCCCTCCTCCCGGGAATGGCCACCCCATCGCAGAAGCTATGAATGACAGGTGCCGAGAATGTTTGTTGTTGTGAAGCTCAGGAAGCACCCAGGACGTGATTTTCTTTCGGGGGAGAAGAAGTTGAAGCAAGAAAAACGACTTGGACAATCGGAAGAAGAAAGGAAGAAAGAAGCGAAGCAATGGAATGGAAGGTAAAAACAATATTTCAATTTTGTTTGAAAAGGAATGGGTGCCTTCTTCAACGCCACAACGAAATGGAACAAAGGGACCCAAAACTGGTAAAGGTTGACAACCGTGTTGATATTCCGTGTTTTTGGTTTTTGTGATTGTTGGATCATTAGGGTGTAGGTAGACCACTAGTCCGAATGCTATCAGACATGCATTCGTGAGCATATAATTCAAATTTACAGGGAAATATTCTCGAGATCATCTTTGACTTCGTAAAATATATACGAAGAATTGGCTCTACCGTATAAGTAAACAAATTATTGCTGTTTGCGTTATTTTTTCAAATTAGGAGAATAGAGAGCTGTTTAATGAATTGTAGCTAACTATTTCAATTTCAGCCTTATGACCCATTTAACCTGGTGGCATTTGGCCTAATGATCCATCACCATGTTGTGATAACGTACATACACATTCGTGGTGTTTCAAATTCATTGCCACTAGTTTTACACATTTTTAACAAAGTTATCTTTACGTAAAGGCGTAAAAACCCCATATCTTTTCGAAATACATGAATCACAATAATACAATACAATTACAACGAACATTAATCAAGTCTATAGTATAAAAAAAGTTATCCTCCTATGGCATAGAGTTGTCCGTGAATCAGGTAGAAGTCCTCGTCATGCAGTTGAACGGGAAACAAAAAATAAACAGGTAGCACAATCCTTCACGTGTACATTAAATGGACAGCTACTCACCTTCTAAGGAGTCTGCGTTGAATACGGTGACGAAAGGTTTCCGCTGCACAGTTAAAGTCCAAAAACTCGTAAAACTCGTTGAAACGCCCGGACATGAACCGTATTGGGTCATGCAAGCTGTAGTTCGCAATACGAGGTTCAAGATGCAGGAAACTCCTCGACCGAAGAACTCGTTCGGGTGCGTAGATTTCGAATTCAGCCAAGATTCCTGGAGAGTCGATATCACCAATAATTACTTTTACTGCGAACACGGCCTGACTAATCGTCCGCCTATGTTCTAGTAGTTCAAGACCCAGGAGTTGACAACGATCTTCGTACGGCGGAAGGGTCATTCCAAGGAAGGTGACGGAAGGCATACCGAACAAATTTCCTTTGAACAGATTCAATCCTCGCTATCCAAACTGCTTGATACGGGCACCATACTACCGAGCTGAATTCCAAGATCGATCGCACTAGAGAGCAGTATAGAGCTTTTAGACAGGCAGGACCGTGAAACTCGTCAGCGATCTTGAAAATGAACCCGAGTTGCCTGTTAGCTTTCGCAACGATGCCCGAGTAATGAAGCTTGAATGTTAAGGGGCAGTCCAGCGTGATTCCTAGGTCACGAACATTGTCCACACGTTGCAGAAGTTGGTGATTTATCGTATACTGCCCATAATCGCATATCAGTCCCATATGGATAGCAAATCAAGCAAAGATGGGACTGATATGCGATTATGGGTAGTATAGTTGAATGCTACATAGTTAATGTTACATTTTTGTACATTCAACGTGAGATAGTTTCTTGAGCACCATTCTTCGAAAGTATCGATTTGGTGCTGAAGCCGCAAGCAATCGGCGAAGCTACGAACAATCACATAGATATTCACAGCATCCGCGTAGAACGATCGGCAACCAGTTGGGAGGATCAGTCCGGCCTCATTCACAAAAATCGAGAATAGCAATGGTCTTGGACTTGAACCAACGAGTTAAACCCGAGGATATTACCGAGTTTTTCAAGCTTAGCTAGCAGTATGGAGTGGTCAACCCGGTTAAATGCAGCCTTAAGATCTGTATATACAACGTCCACCCGCGCTCTAGCTTCCATACTCCGAAGACATAAAGAAATGAACGGAGCTAACACTAATACAGTACAACAACTTCTCCTCAGAGGCGGGCATTAAAACCGCTAACCGCTAAATCATATTTTGGGAAAGCATTATGTTTTCTCATGTTTATCATTTAAAATTGAAGCAAAATTGTGTATTTTTTTAGGTTGTTATTGATTTAGGTTTGCAATTTTACGCTCATCAACAGTTTAGCTAACCTGATTAGAACCAAAACCTGATAATGAAGCATCTGTTATATTACTGTTGAATAGCCTGCTATCAAATGTACTCCTGTACAAAAATCCATTTCAATCTGAAATTATTAACGTAAGATATATTAATAATTTTTGAAAGCATGATTTAGCGCAGTGGCCTCGCGTCCAAATATGCAACCTATGCACTGCCGATACCAGCATAACATAACTCTCATATGAATTTTCATTATTTTTGAGTTAACCTTGAGATTGGTGTTTATTGTCATTGAACTTAAATAAATCACACCTAAAATGGCATTTGTATGGGCAAAACATAAAAAAATACTAAACTAGGACTTAGTGCTGTGACGAAGTTGTTATTATCGATAATATCGATATCGGTCATTGAAAATATCGATATCGTGTCCAATATCCGCTAATAATTTAAAAAAATACACTTTAAAAGTACTCTGTTGCTTCCCGGTGTTTATTTTGCATTTTTAACACCAGAAGCATCAACATTATGGAGAAAAATTATTCGATTAACTCTTTCAGGATCGAGACTGCTTCGAGACTCACTCAAAATTCGCCCTGTTTTTGAAAACAAACGCTCTGATGGCACCTAGGTTGCAATCCTTGGCAAAAGCTTCAGTGCCACCTGGTATAAAAATGGAAATCTGCTCTGCTGCTGCTCCCAGTACCGAAAAATGTCACACGTCATTGATTCGATTCCACTCCTCATATACATGTCAATTTTCTTGCGAATGGAGTCTGGCGTTCGCATTGTTACCCTTCGGTTGTTGTAACGTTAAACCATGCCTTCGTGGTAACTCCATACCCCATTTTCGGTAGGGATCTTCCTCGGCGGCTCCTCGCCAACAAAATCTTCTTCATCAGATCCTTCAACTTGAGTTAGGACCATGTGGATGATTATTTCCGTAGCAGCGTTGCGTTCATCAGCACTCTTGAAATGAACATCTTTAAATCGAGGATCCAGAAACATACTTGGTCCATAAAGAGGCGAGACTCGGTTGCTTTCAAATCGAGATTGGATTTCTCTTAACAAGGATGCTTGGAGGTTTCTTCCAACCGATGATACTGGCTTCATAGCAGTGATGCAATTGCTCAGGCAGTTTATGATAGGCAGCACCCGACTTATTGTCGCATAATCTTGACCGCTCAAATCTTCAGTTACTTCATTAAGGGGCTGTAGTAGCTTGACGACTTCCTCCAGATTTCTTTTCCCCTCCAATTGAACCATTTCTGAGAAGCGATCTTGGTCCGACATAATGATCTGTATGAAGTTGTACAGCTCTAGAAACCGTTTAACCATGATAAACTCCGAGTTCCATCTGGTAGGCACAAATGAAGTAATTTTCAGAGGTGTTCTTTTACCATCATCTTCAATCTGTAGCTTGTGCAGTTTATCTGTTGCGATTGTTGATCTCCGAAGAAAGGTAACTATCTTCTTTACTTTATCTATCAGTTCTGATAGAGCGTTTGTAATTTCAATGGATTTTTTTTCGCAACGAGATTGATTGCATGGGCTACACAGCCAATATGTTTATCTTCAGAGAATGTATCCGCAACAGATTTTAACATGGTCTGTAACAATCATGCCCACGTGTTCTTTGGGAATTGCCCAATGTTTAAGAACTTCCTCAAAGCAAGTTGAAATGTATGCACTATTGTGCCGTTCATTCATGATATAAACGCCCAAGTCAATCGTTTGGAGACTTGTAGGAATTTGAGGGCTCAAAAAGTGACAAGTTACTCCCAAATAACTCCTAGTAGTATGGCTATCGGTCCAGATATCGGCAGTAATGGTCAAGTCTTCATCTTGAATTTTTGTTTTGACACACTCGACCACTTCCGAATACATGTCGTCAACTAGCTTTGTCATGAGCTTTCGGTTGGGAATTTTGTATTTAGGTGCCAGAATTTTCCATAAATTAACAAAGCCCTCGTCTTCAACAATCGAGAACGGTTGATAATCTTTCACAATCATGAATGCGATCGCTTCGTTAATTTCTCTGGTTTTCGGTCCATCATCTAGAATGTTAGAATTAATTTCCCATTATTAATAAAATAACATGATCGTGCTATAATATATATTATTTGATAACTGGTTCTGCGCCATATATATAGATAGTGTACTACCATTTCGAGCTCGAAAAAGCGATCCCAGACTTATTAGACAAGAATATTTGTAAGACGGGCTTCAACGTAGAGTCGTGTTCTTCTTCTGTAGTACCATGAACAAGCAAAGCATCCATTTACACGATCACCCCTTTTATCACCCTGAACAACGGCGTATAATATCTCTTGGAGGCCAGTTTCATCCCTATCATCTTATATTATCATGCATACCGAAAAACCTGGCATAGTGGGAAAAATGGTTAGTATCAGAAAATAATCTGTCAAACTACTACAACAAACCATACAATACACAACACGACTTCTCGGATATTCTACGGAGTTGTTAGAAGATCTACGGTCCTTTCAAATATTTTACTGATTTTTTAAGTTCTACGAACTTCTCAAAAGTTCTACAGACTTCTAGGATGTTCTACGGTCTATTTGGAAGCCCTACAAACTTCTTGGAACTTCTATGGACTTCTATATATATGACTCAGAACCAGTTATCTAGTTTTTGCGGAAGCTTTTGAATGGAGTTTGACTGAAAACCTCCATAGTATAGTTCCAAATTAGCTTTACCCATAGTCAATATTTAAAAACTAGTGAATTTTTAACCTCAAACTGATTTTAAAACAAAAAAATAACATAAAATACCTGTCCAAAGTTGCGTTTCTTTAAACATTCGATCTATTGTGGATGCCGATGTGGATGGTTCTGCAGATGCGAAGCTTGTACTGGGAGTAGGAGGTTGAGCCAAATCTTGTTCCTGATCCTGACACTTGGATGCATTTTGCGACCATAGCGTTTTGTCCTTCTGCGGATGCTTCTGGAGATGAACTTTCAAATTGGTGGTATTACCGCGACGTGGAACTTCTGAACCGCATATTTTACACTCAGCGGATATTGTGGACGTTTTCACAAAATAATTCCAAATTTCGGACATCTTCAACGATAATTACATAAATATGTAAATGACTTCCGATGACTATCTAAGCATATTAATTTATGTATTTATCCGATTTAAATGGTAGAGTAGTGTGTCAAAAACTCAATAGTCGTCTCTTTCATTACTGCGTAATTGGCGTTGACGTTGACGGCATTAGCTCAGCCGGGAAACTCTCTTTGCACCAACTGTTTCTTATTGACGTGTGAATGAAAAAGCATATATCTTCCCTCCTTCACTTTCTGACATAAAATCGCCAGCAAAAAGAGTAATGTTATCATCGCCAATATTTATAAACAGTGATACCAGCAAACCGATATTAAATTCAGATTACCGTCAATATCAGATTTTGAAATATCGGTTATCGTATCGATAATTTGGACCAAATATTTATCGATAATATCGGATTTATCGATATCTTCACAGCACTAAACTAGGTCAGTCCCATATTTAATGTACCCGCATAACAGTCCCATTTGTCACTTAACAATATATTGAAGAAAAATTTCATTTGTACCTAAAGGATAGCAGTCTCTTATTGTGATGTTAATATTATTTCATTGGTAATGAACTATAAAAAATATTCCGAGTTAGTATAAAGCACATGTATTTGACCAAATTTCACTTAACGATGCTTAATTTCCTTAACGGGTAGACGTTCCCAGAACAACTTCTGTCCTCTCCGATGAGACGCAGCATCACATTAAGGTGCGCCTCCTTACGAAAGTTATCCAGTCCAGCAGGATTTTCTTGGATTTTTAAAAAGTTTTCCAAAATGAATCCTTCAGTGGTGGCCAGCTTAAGTTGTTTCTTGGAAAACAAAGAACAGCTTTGGAGTTCTCCGTCCCTTGTAACAGAGCCACTGCACAGTGGTGCCAACCCGAGCAAAGTTGGTTAACAAAATGAACGAAAACTCAATTTAATTTCAAATGTTGCCACATAAGTCCGATATCATATTGTGCTTTCATAATGCAGTCAAGACTTTTTAAATGAAAGCAACTTAACTTGAAGTTCTGCTGTTTACGTAGTGTTTAAAATTTAATTGAAATTCATCTGTCGTTGAACTAATGATTATTGTTTATTTGATTTGTTTAACACATTTTATGTTATTCGTGACTTTCCCGGGGTGAGATTGGAGCCCAAGTCTTTCAGCTTGAGAAACATGAATGGTAACCATTTACTCCAGGCCCGTATTCAGTTGAACATTATGAATGCAAAATCAGTAATCAAATTGATTTAATTGAAAGTAGCATTAGTTTTCCGTTTGCTTCAACAGTGTAAAATGTTGCTCTCATTTTTGCTGTGTTAACCGTTAAGTCAACCAAAATGAGATCAACTGGAGTATTCAAAATAAGTTACATCATAACAGCAAATTTTGATTTCAATTTGATCTTCAGCTTTGCTCGGGAAGGGTATCAAAACACGCGCTGTTTTATTTACGCTGAAATGGTTGATTAAAGGTACTCGGTGTCTTGTGAGAAGTTTCTCGGGTTACAATACTCCTTCTTATGGTAAAAGAAAATTAAAGATTAATCCACCCAAAAGTGAGACGCAAAATTTATTTTTTTAATATGATGAGATACAAAACAATTGTATTCGGCAAAGCTGTAGGGAACATTACTGTGAACAACTTTGCTCAAGACTACAACTTTCTAGTTCTTATAACTGCTGAGATATAAAGGTTTTTTTTTTGTAGAGACATCGTTAAAATCAATTTTGTATCTGTAACTTTTTCTACAATATTTCTACATGTTTGGCATGTTGTACAAAGATGTTAGAAATATCAAATAACATATCTTTTCAGAAGACTGCAAATTGCTATCATTAATATTTGAAAAGTAATTTACATTTTTTGGTTGAAAATTCCCCAACTTCCAATACCAATAACTTCTAAACGGGCAAAAACGAGCAGGCCATACTTTAAGCAATTGAAAGTACAAGAAAATGCAATGAAATGATGAAGAAACCAGACCGCCCCCCACGTTACCCTTAACCGCAATACTTGCATTGAAACTTGTCACTTTTCACAATTTGAAATGGCGATTTTGTGGCATACAAATGGATAACCAAGCAACCTGGGTTATTTCTACTGACTTACAAAATGACTCGGGATCAAAACCAGACCACTCCCAAACGACCCTTGACTGAATCGCTTATGTACTTTAAATATTTTTCGATTTTGTCAATAAACAATACCAAAATCATTCATGTTAAATGTTTATTACGTTCCGGTTCAAATTGTACGTATCTTAAAGAGCGCTTGTAGCTTCGTCGATATCACTGTTCTCGCCGTTGTCATCTGTGATGGCCAAAAGGTGCAGAGCATCCCCGGAGCACACCTCACTTTTGTTTTTCGGTAGTTCCCTCATGTTGGAAATTGATGCTGCCCTTTCGAATTACGATCCGCCTGATTCAGCCAATGTATGGCCGCTTGTTACATTGATTCAGGGTGTATTGACTGACATCGAACGTTGATTGAAAAAATCAGTTGCTTGCATATCCAATACTTCGATACTTTTCTTCACTTTTCCAACGCCATTTACAAACTCTGGATACGTAACTGGCGGAGTTTGGCGCATAACTTTCTCCACAGCAGCGTGCAAAGAATCTGCCGCCATGAAAGTATGGCCAGACCCAAGCAATTTGAGAACTATTTCGACAATATCAAATGAAGAAATAGTCCCCAATTTTTATTTTGAGGTGCGCAGTTATCTTGTCTTATGAAGTCTACTTTATACTTTTCTGATCTCTGATCTAAAATATTTTCCGATTCCCGTGAATACCCGTATCTCGGGAATCCAAAAATGGCCGGGAAATGGAAGCACTAAGCAGATTTAATCATAGTACATATGCAACGTCATAAACATAAAATCAACGAAGCACAATTTAACGATCGTTAATCAATTCGTTGACGATTTAACGAAAATATGTCCACCACTGACTGCAAGTTGTAATGCCCTAACGTAACATCCATCTTGTAATGAGAATTTTACCAAATCAAATCACTGCTGCAATGCTCTGAAATTTACTTCCCGTCTTCCTATATTGCATACAATCATATTTAATATGCCGTGTCCTACAATTAAATCAACATCGGCATCCTTGCTGCAATCAAGAGCTTCTTTTACATCCTAGTAAAATTGCATCTTGCAACGTCTCTCCTGTATGCCATCCTGTGCCGCCTAAGCTCTTCCCACAGTATCGTATAAAATTCCCAAACCGGAAGTTGTGCAACTTAAACCTTTCTCCACTCATTCACTCGGTAGTGTGGAAATTCCAACCGGCAAACCTCCTCTTGTCTCTGTTCGTAAACAACAATGTTGTCGTTTTGCTTCCTTTGCTTTTTGCTGTGTGGTGTTGGACCGCAATCCTGGGACATGCGCGCCCCGCGTTGATAATATTGCCATCGCCGCCCGGTCGGGCCACGTGGTGCGCATGCTTGCCGCCCGCCCGATTGTTAGTTACAGCCATCAAAGGTCCGTATAGCTACATTTTTTTGTTTACATACAAATGCCGTCTGAGCGTTTTATGTGGGGCTATGCTATGTCTGTATGTATGGGAGGGAAGGTGTGGTGGGTGAAATTCGTAGAAAATTCCGGTACGGAAAAGCTTTCTTGTTCGCACGTCGACAGGGATTCATTGTGTGCAATAGCTTCTCACTGCCTGCATCGTTTTCAAGAGGAAAATTTTTCATTTCTTCAGATCGGTGATAGACTTCTAAAGACTGGTTAATCGTTAGTAAAGAATTTAAACATCGGAGCAATATATTAGAGTATTTAAGGACAAAATCGAGTGTATTTTGCGAGAGACGTGAGTGAAAAATTCTGGAATTAGAAAGTGTGTAGCCTCATGGCTGTGAATTTCGTCTCGTCGCCGCCGTCGTCAGTGAGTGCAACTGCAGTGCAGACAGTGCAAAAAACGGGCAGCAAACGCATCCGGGCCGGCAATGGAAGTTTTTCTGCAACCGATTTGTTGGACGATCGTGAAGGTGGCCGTCTACTGAAGGACCTGGTGGCCGTGCTGGCTTCCTCGCGCAAACAGGAAGTGAACAAAGGGACGTCACGGAGCGCCATTTGCAAGAGCCCCGATCTGACGCTGGAAAAATGTGCCCCAGACAGAGTGCATCGGTTGGCGATTGCATCACTCAGCGCAGCCACGAAGGAGTTTTCCACCCTCGCCGAGAAGATAATAACGATAGCCGATAGCAGCATCAAAGGTACGACTAGCCAACAGGACGACGATTACACCAACAGCAATAACACTATTGTTAACGAGAAAGAAAAGACTGAAAGCCATATTTACAACAATGAAAACGATGATATAACATTAGATGATAGTAAAACGCCTAGCCCGCTGCAACCGAAGGATGGGAAGGTGGTGAAACGCAAAAACAGGGAGGTTTCCATTGACAACAATGCAACCGCCGCCGAAACCGCCGCGGCCGCTGTCTGCTTTCCAAGCACTCTGCCGACTGTCACCCGTAAGGAGACAACAGCGGCAGCGGCACGAAACGAGGTCACCACCATACGAGACTGCATCAACCCACGTGGTGGCCCGTTGCTGGAGGAAAAGCTAGACAAATTGCTGGATAACGTTGTAAAAATCAAAGCCGATATGCACCAGAAGATTGATCGACTGAGTCGACGTATCGATCAGATCAAGCTGGATGTGCAGCTGAACATCGACACCACAGATCGAGCCGTTTGCAACAACGTGCTGGAGCTTGTGGGAATCCCGTACCGCAAGGACGAAAACCTTCAGCAGTACTTTCGCAAAATTTGCCTCCTGCTGGGCTACAGCGAAACCAACATTCCACTGGTCGACATCCGACGCAAACGAGCTGAACGCACACTCGATAAGACTGAACCAATAGCCGTTAACACTGCCACCAATAGAAGCAACGCAGCTCGTAGTAATCGCAAGCGTGGGGAACAGTCGGAGGATGGGTTGGATTGTGCCATCATCGTAATCGAGTTCGTCTTCAAAACCATAAGGGATAC